CTGTCTTGAATTGAAGCGATCATCCTCATTAGCTGTATCGAGAACATCTGCGTCGTCATGCGTAGTAGGGTCGCTAAGTGTGCTCTTCTGTCTCTCCCAGATCTGATGAATGGCTGCGTTATACATGTCCTGCTGCTTCTTGACGTTGTACGAATGGCCGCCGTTCGCCTTCCGTTCGCGTTCAATCGCATCTGCTGAAGTGGCCAAAGGGCCCTGAACAGCATTTATATAGCCGCCCTTCATAGAGGTCTTTATAAAACTAAATCCAAGGCCATGGCCGGTAGGATCGCCTTCGCCGTGGAGGGCCACCATAGCCTTACCCGCGCTGGCATCGATGAAGTTTTTAGTAAGTTCCCACGGTGCCATTCTAGCTATTAATGGTTCTTCTGTGTTTTCATCATCGTCTTCCCTGTCCTTAGGATCGTAGCCGGCATTTGCTAACGCCTCCTGGCCGATTTGCATAGCTTCGATCAGGCAGGCATCTTCTGGTTTGATCATGGATCGTATGGCAGCTTCGTCCATGAGCGTTTGCCCTTCCGGCAAAACCCATGTCTTCCTCTCTCTATCATACAGAAGAAACTCCTTCATCTTCTGCCTGTTTTGTGGGTCTGGCTTCTCGAATACGTGGGGCGTGATCTCGTTGAGGCCCACATCCTGCGTTTCCTTCTTCTTCATCATGCGATATGCGATCATCTTGAGACGGTTCTTCGACGTATTTGTGACCTTCCTGGCATGGGGACCGGGCACCTCCAATGAAGGGAACGTCTGCCCAACTGTATAAACATGATCAATTTTGCGAAGATAGAACTTCGGACCTTCGGTAGCGTTTGTTGAATATCCGAGAATGAAATCATTTGGCCTAGGCTCATGTCTGAAGATCGGCGCCCGGTACATCTCGTTGTGCAACGTAGGGACCGTCTCGCCTGGGTCTACAGTGCCGAATATAGAGAAGGGCGATCTATCTTCTGGTAGTAGCAGGTGACCTTCACCGATGTCGAGTTTCGGGAGCTTATCCTCGTCATTTCGATCTTTGCGGCGGTAATAGTTGATCACGCGACTACCCATGCCAAAGTTGGACATCATGATGGGGAATTGCTCGCAGTATTCGAAGAGAACTGCTGTGGAGTTATCGTTTAAGCTGAGATCTTTAGTATTACGGAAGATCTCCTGGTTGGTCTTCCCCTTCGTATCTTTTCGCCTAACCTTCGTAGCTTTGCGTACGCCAATAGCATGCTTCACGATCTTGTCTAGCTCAAACCTCTTGCGGTGATGCTCCCAAGGCTTGACGTCAACCTTGGTTCGGTAGAAGGGGAAGGTCAGCTTGAGCGCCGGCAAGCTGTGCTCGACAGAAAGGTTAGACAGAGTGGCCCTGACTTTGCTCTTGTGGTTTGCCTTCAGCGCCTCGTACGCGTCATCGTTAGAGAGATTAAAGTGATGCATTACATCTCTTCTTAGCTGGCCGTTAGCCATTCGCTTGGTTTTCTCCTCGACCTTCGGGCGCTTAGATGGTCGCTCCTTCCCTCCATCTTTATCAATCAAAAGGTATGGGTCGTCATAGTCTAGCCTGACCTGTTTGCTAGCTCGTCGTGTCTCTCCGAGGAAGTCGTCAATATGGTGAGTATCATACGATGATATTTTCGGGAGACCGGGCTCGTATCTACGTCGCTTTTTCGTAGCTTGCGGCTGCAAGAATTCTCTTTCCCAATCATCCATTTCGTCATCGTTATCGACGACAGCGGTACCCTTCTGAATAGATGAGTCGCCATGCGTGAACGAGCTCCAGTCGTCGCATACTGTGGCAATCTCGTCTAAACTGAAGCCCCCAATAAGTGACTGTTCTGAGTTCGAGGTGTCCGAGTAGTTATCCGTCGCGTCCAAGCCCCGGTCCTCTTCGTCATTGTAACCGCCTCTCTGAGCGGCCAGAGCACTCTCCGGGATCCTAAATAGTTTTGAGGAATCGGCTTCCAGTTCCAGCTCGAGCTTGGTAGGCACAAACTCGGGAGGATCCCTGTCCTTATTCGGGGGTTCCTTGTATATGTATTCCGCGGGCCATTCTGGGAATAGCTGGTTGAAGAAGAGAGTCTTATGTTTTGCAAAACCAGGGAACTTCTGCGCCAAGAGCTCGTCTACGTTCTCAGGAACTTTCTGAACTGTGGTGTCTTCTTTGCTGACCTGGTTCATCCATTTATCTATGGACAGGTTATACTGGGGGAAATTGAGTCTCTGCCTCTCCTCAAATGACATGTTCTTCCAAGCCTCGTCCGTAACGTCGCGTTCTTTCACTAGTGCAGCCTTGGTTGGCATAGTTAAGCCGCCCGAGGGTTGCTCCGCTGCCGCGTCGGCTGCAGGTGGTGAAGATGGAAAATCGGGTTCGCCTTCGGGGCCGCCTCCAAAGAGGTCGTCTATATATTCGTTCTCATGGCTTGTGCCTTCATCTTCAGTAAGACCAGGAACTTGCGAGATGCCCGCACCAACAGCACTAGAACCGTCATCCGAAGCTAGGTCACTATCGCTAATATCTTCGAAATCGATGGCGTCTACTGCCTTATCCGTCTGGTCGATTACTTTATCGCCAAATAGTTCGAGGTTTTCCGGCATACTAACCCTTCCCTCATCCGAAAATATTTTGTTGATATCATCTTCATCCTGCTGTTCTTGTGCAGCCCAATCGATAGTCTTGAATGATTGTCCATTTAGCTGGTCGTGATCGGGCTCCTCCTCCTTAATGGTGACCCCATCTACACGAACCAGACCCGAGGCCGGGGAACTTGCTATTAAACCGTCCATGGTATCTTGCGCGATTCTGGCGTTGGAAAGGGACTTGTCGACGTTGTCGGAGACGTTCGCGAACGGAAGGATGGCAATGTGCTAGGCTACTTCATGTCAGGATAATACAGACGCCACGCGTATGAACTTCATCCGAAATATAGAACCAAAGAGGCGCGAGGCTAGCAAGCAAACCACGCGCTAGATGAGACCAGAAAAAATAGACTCTTTGGGATAAAATTGAGATTGATTCGTAGATAAGTCAATGAGCTGAGTGGTACTGGCTTGAAATTGGGAAGTCGCGTTAAAGTGGTACCAAGATACAGAATACGTCCTTCTAAACCGCGGGGGAAGCCTTGACCAAGATTGAACCATACGTACCTACTAGGTAAGTTATATACATGTACCCGGGGGTTGCCCTAGAAGATAGATTGGTATGTCGAGATTTTAGATGAGCATTTCTTAACAATAAGGAGACTAAAAAAGACGAATTAAAAAAAATAGAAATCAAATAGTTTCTGGTAGCCATGTGTCTTTTGGATTCAACACACGTAGTACATTGAATGCACCTTCAATACTAGGAATAGTTGAGCACACATATCAAGAAGTGTACATAAGATGAGGTGTGGAAGAAGTTGAATCCTGGGGAGTGAAAAACCAAAAGCTTGACCTACATACCTACCTACATAGCACTTAGAAAGAAAGAACCAAAAGTTGTGGGTCAATTATGTGGCTAAATGGCAGGTACCTACGTAAATCGTGGTTGCCGGTTACCTTGGTATGGAATATCTACGGAAGTACTTACTTAGTCAGCTGGCCTATTCCCAAAGTGCCTATCCGTCAGCTTTCAGCAAATGTTGTGAAACCAAATATTTACCTAACCTACATGTATTTACCAATAAAAAACTGCCTCCATTGTATATGAGGTATTCCCGCAAGGCTTTAATATTAATCACAACAGTACATTCACACTTGTTCAAACAGACATCCTCTTTGCTAGTCATAATCTCAGATGTCTCTATTGTTTCTCCCTCATTATATGATTAGAAGTCAACAGGTTCACTTTATAAAAGACCAAGTGATTATACCAAGTCGGGAACTTGAAACTTACTCTATCAGGGCTTGATATAAACCTATTCACTTCTTCCCTCTGTCCGACGTCTGTCGAAGTTCAAGTTCCCTACGCACTACTTCGTAGGTCTGCTGCAATGATTACCCCGCAGCATGGCCTTTGCATTCGCGGAGCACCCGAGGCCAAAATCGTACTGAGATCTTAAGGTCCTTTTACAAAGGAACATTCTCTACATGACAGTCTGACGTCGTACTTGTTGCCGCGCAACCCTCTAGGAATCCTGCATCAAGTACAACACTGGCCTTCTCATAGGATATTTGATTCGGTAGGCACACCGATAACGACGTTTTATATGTGCTTATAAAAGTCTCAACCGGTGAAAAATGCAGACTTTGCTGTAGCTTACCGAAGTCATGTGAACGGAGGAGCACTGGTACCAAATCACTATCAACCACGTATCGGCAGAACCCAACAATATTTAAGATAGCATTACTACGTTGGGATTTCTAGCGAAAGTCGTGCCAAAATTCGAATAGCTCGGTTCTTGTTTTACTTTCCCTGTAATTATTCAAGTTCAATATTTTACCCCTTATGATTGATTAGCTTCTGTAGGATTGCGTACAACAGTTATTCTAATAGTCCCAGAATAAGGCAATATACAAAGTCCTATCTAGGATATCAACTGTTAAGCTACAATAAGTGTCATCCATGAGGCTATTATTGTTCAACTATGATCTTCCTAGTCAAAGTAGACAAACTTACAGATATCAAGCTATAGCTTACCCCCTATATATCATAAGCAATATCCTAAGATAACCCACAATATAATAATCGGATTTTAACCCCATGATTTCTATGTGAGTATGTGCGGGTGCGGATCCGAATGCCACGCTAGCGAGTGATATTGAGGCACCAAAAGGCTTCGTTCTTTTAGCCCGGATAAGCGTACAGCTACCGCACTTACATGCTTAGACCCGAACAGGTGGAACGCGAGTTAGGCTACGTAGTATATTTATTTACTCAGCCATTTTCGTCTACGCAAAGAGTTTCTATTATGGCTGCGTAAGAGAAACGTGTATTATCTTGGCGATGGCGTAACGGGAGAAAATGAAGGAAAGAAAAGCAAAAGCAAAAGCAAAAGCATAGACACTATCTACGTTATCGTCTATAGTAATTGATCACTCGGTCTAAATTCTACACACGAACATGTTTTAACTTGATAGCCTATCCACCATGACGCAACGTACGAACCCATTCATGTAAGAGTCGTTACATCGTGAACCACACTTACGATGCATGTGGTTTCGTCGTGGTGCATGACAGCCCAACCAGCTCCAAGTTAGTATACCGAACTTATTCTAGCGGTCGGTGGGTCACGCGTCGACAAGCGCCCTTCGGCGTATTCCTAGTCCTAACTCTACGATGTAAGGCACCGAGTATAAGTGAACCTAATACCTACTCGGGTATTATAGCTATCCCTACCCATGTCGAGCTTACCGGGAACAATTGTGACAACAATCAGATCAACGAGCCGTTACCTGCTAAAGCCAACCCAATACCGAGCTCGCGGGATCTATGTGACAACTAGCGCTAGGTAACTAATACGAAGCAAGCCCGAACGGATCAAAGCAAGGGAATCACCACAATGGCGGCGGTGCAAGTAAACAAGGATCTCCTTCGTGCCCAGTTCGTGGGTAAGAGCCTCAGCGAGGTTATCACGCCAACTGCCGTATTAGATCTAGCCAAGATCGAGGCAAACTGCAATTTGATGCTCGAAGCTGCTGAGCGACTGCAGCTTAGCTGGCGGGCACATATCAAAACCCACAAAGTATGATTTGTTAATCTCGGAGTGTTATAGATGCTTATCACAAAGAAAAGGGCACCGGGCTAACCAGATCACCCCCCTTAGACTGAGGAACTCACGAGACTGCAAGTAGGAGACAAGAGCTCTGGTCCGGTAAACCTGATAGTCTCCACGGTTATCGAAGCGGAAAGGCTCGTGCCCCTACTAAAAGAATACCGGGACAAAGGGCGAAAGATCAACGTGAGCGGACACCCTTTATACCCGTTTCTATTCCTCGGGTCTTCTAACTCCTATCACATACGCAGGTCCTCTACTCATTCCCCCTCTACGCATCATGCCTCGACCGGCTCGCCCGCGTGTCTGCGGAACTCGGCGCCGGCGCCCTATCAGTCATGATTGACCACGTGGACCAAGTATCTCTCCTAGCAACCCTGGCCTCCAAATCTAGCGGCAATCCCCCTCTAGTCTTCCTCAAAGTCAACGTAGGAACCAACCGCGCGGGTGTCGTCCCCGGCAGCCCCGCAAGCAACGCCCTGATCGACGCGCTACTTGCCTCGGAAGAAGCCGGATCCTCAGTCTTACTAGGCGTATACTGCCACGCCGGGCACTCGTACGCCGCGCGCAAGGACTGGGAGGCCATGGGAATTCTGGGAGCTGAATTCGAAGCGCTAAAGCAAGTAGCCGAAGTTGTCCGCGATAAGCGAGCATCGGGAAAAGACCCTCTAGTCCTCTCCGTCGGCGCAACTCCTACGGCGACTACAATCCAACACCCCGACCTAGCGTCCACAGACGGCGCTTCCAACGGTCACGGCACCAACGGCGCAGATATCCTAACCACCGTCCCAACCCAACACCTCAAAACACTCCTCAAAACCCTTAAAGCCTCCTCCTTCGCGCTCGAGGTCCACGCCGGCGTGTACCCCACCCTCGATATCCAACAACTAGCCGCACACGCGCGAGACCTCTCCCTGCTCAACAGCAGCATGATCGGGATCAGCATCCTTGCGGACGTAGCATCAGTGTACCCCGCGCGCGGCCCAGACAACGCGGCCGAAGCCGTCGTAAACGCAGGCAGCATCGCGCTGGGGCGCGAGCCGTGCCAGGAGCCGGATGGGAAGCGGTACTCAGCGTGGGGGCTAGTGATGCCGTGGGGGGTGCTAGCTAACTCCCAACCGGTGCCGGGCGCAGATTTCCCCGAAGTTCATGGGGGATGGCAGGTCGCGAAGATTAGCCAGGAGCACGGCGTGTTGCGGTGGGTTGGGCGGAAGGCAGATGAGGCTGCGCTGAGCGTGGGCCAACGTGTAAGGATTTGGCCGAATCACTCGTGTATTGCGAGTGCGGGACATGCTTACTACTTAATTGTAGATTCTAGGAATGTAGGGCGCGAGGACGAGGTTATTGATGTCTGGCCGAAATGGAACGGGTGGTGATACATGCAACGGGAACAAATATAAAAGGGGGTTAAGGGGCAGACGGAGAGGCGTCGCGGGATCACATAGGTTAGACATCTACCTAGTGAACCAAAAGCAGCATAGAGAATCATCTATTTCTATTTTGACTTGATCTTCATGTAAAGTTATTGCCTAGTCCTAATTTTGTGTCCTAGTAGAAAATACAAGGAGCCCCAGCCCGCTTACCTGCCTGGCTGTCTACAAACTCCGGACGCCTGAGCGGATAGATATCCGCTTTTATTATCATGAACTTGCAACGGGGGCCTGTGACGACTACTTGCATCGCTTCTCAACAATTCCCGCACCGTTCTCCTCGTACTCCTTGCGCGAGATCCACATCTGGTGGAACGTTCCTAAGCTTGCGAGAATGCTACCTCCAATCCACGCACCGAAGCGTCGCTCCGTAGTCAAGCCGGGGGCATGGAGCTTAATTTTCATGCCCGGGTACATGGCCATTAGCTCGTTGTTTAGACGGTCGCCGAATCCGTTGAGCAAGCTCGTGCCGCCCGTCACGACGATGTTTCCTAGTAGGTTAGGTCGCAGATCTACATCAACCGCATTAATGGCAGCCTTGATCAGCTCTGGAATAGTCTGAGCCTTCGCTACACCATCCGTCGTTGGTAACGCTGCTGTCTCATCCCACATGCCCTCCGAAACTCTAAACCGCTGCTCTCTCCACATCTGATTTGACCCGTTCGGCATTTCAAACACGCGGCCGGGCTGTGACCTTACGAGGTCCTCGTTGCCTGGATTAGAGTACCTACCAGGGCCTCGCCAGACTTCGACGACTGATTCCTTGTATTCGGTCAAGAGGCGCTCCTCCTCGTAGGTACGGAACGACGGGTGAATCTCGAAAGGGAATTTGCGTAGCCTCGCCTGAGCGGGCGCTCCCGCATCCACAGGGGTCTTATTTTCGATCATAAAAGACGGCACGACGTCAATCTTAGGGTCGTTGTTCTCCCACATGGTCCGGATTTGCTGTGACAACCATAGTCCTCCCACCGGAGACTTCTGGATCGACCGCTTTAGGATCATGCCGTCGTGGATAGCTGTAACGCTCGTGTTCGCACCACCGACATCGATAACTAGTGCAGAAGCCTTGCCGGCGGCGAACGCAGCGCATACAGGCGTTCTCGATAGCCAAAATGCAGGGCAACCCCAGTTCTCCATGGCAATTTCTATCGACTTCTCCCGCGCCTTACCGGAATTCCACGGCGCTTCGGTCATCAACAGAGGATTCTCAGCCAGGGGCTTTTCCTGCTCCTCTATATCTTCCATAGCGACGTCGCCCTCTCCGTCTTCAGCCGGGTCGTTAAGACCATTCTTACTAGGCGGCGTTGGCTTATCCGGTTGTAGGCGCTTGATGAGGGTATGCTCCCAAATCTTAGTTGCAGCATCCCAATCCTCGACTACGCTTTCGCTGCGCGACATGTAGTTTTTTATCTCCAAGTCGGCGCGGGGGATCAAGCACTCGTCGCCAAAGACTTCGCGGTACGTGGCAGCTTCGCCATCGCCATATTTTACGCTGCCATAAAAAGAAGGGAGGACCGATTTGGGGACATCTTCGCCTGCGAAACCAGCTCGTGTGTGGCAGTAACCGGCATCGAGGACGAGGGCTGATACTTCGTCTAGTGGAATGTGTTAGTATAGGCAGTAAAGAAAAGAATCGCGAACCGAGAAGACGAGGCTGGTATACTTACCTCCACCATAGACGTCAAGCGGCTGCTGTGTATTTGGAAGTGGTTGTTGAGAAGACATTATATCGGTTATAACAATTTTTGTAACCAATTGTATAACAAATTGAACAAGTCCTCCGACAAGGTTGTGGTGGGAATTGAAGGGAATTCGATGGTTCGCGTCGAAGGTTGGAGCTCTAAGCTTCTCTAGCCCTGTGGTCGTGCCTGTGGCTGGTGGATAGTACATACATGTACCCGCATCCTCTTACATGCATATTCTTACATGCATATGTACCTCGAAGTGTAAAGAAAGTGGACCGCGCTCTTCCTGCTTGTACCTGGATAAAACACTCTAACGGTACCTCGGTACTTCTTAATCTTCAACTTGAATCTTCAATGCGCAACATAAAGTTATGCTATTCAACGGCTGCGACACCGAACCGGAGAGCATAACATGATGCTGTATACATAACTCCCCCCAGCTGGATTTCGATAACCAATATCTTAAATAGGAACTCATTGGGAGTTCTACAATACATACAAAAGCTAAGAAAAGCTAAGATGTCGCTTATTTCGGACGAGGAAGACTTCCTCTCAGACAACCAATCCGATGCATCATCCTCCAGCGACGAAGAGGCCTTACCTCCACCCCCATTACAGCAGAACTATTTCGCGCCTCCATTCTATGGCCGACCTCCAACACCATTGCCTCCGTCTCCGTCCTTAACATCGCTACTCCGTCCATCACGGCCTACCACTCCCGATGCCTCAGACGACGACCTCGAGCCGGTGCCGCGTGCATCCCCAAAGGTGCCCACGTACGAGTACTACGGCTTCGTCCTATACCTCTTCTCGTCTCTGACTTTTCTCATCTATCTGCTATGGGCATATCTGCCTTCTCCGTTCTTACATGCCTTGGGCATCTATTACTATCCTAATCGGTGGTGGGCCCTAGCTATTCCATCGTTCCTAGTCATGCTCATAGTCTACATCTACGTTGCGCTCGCGGCATACAACACGGAGATCCTTACCCTTCCTATGACTTCGCTAGAGACTATCGTCGATGAGGCAGCTAAGATCGCTACCATTGATCAGAAGGACAGGATACGGCCGAACGAACCCAGGAAGCCCATTACTGAGGAGAGAGCCAAGCAGCTCGACTGGAAGAATATTTGGAACGAAGGAACGGATGCTGTCATGGATGTGCCGCTTGCTGGCGCATGCGAGGTCATATACGGCGATCTGACTGATTCGGGGAGTGAACTAGAATTTGATGACAACTGATTTGCATGGCGTAGGTAGTGGTTTTATGCTTTATGGACATTAAGCGAATGAAAAAGAAAATGCAGTACGGTTCTTCCATCTGAGGACAGAAACAAGGCTATCGGGCGGCCTTGTCCATTTGACCCTTAGGTAAGACAATGCATCACCCTCTCAACGGCTCTACAATCTACCTCTTCCAATGTCTTTGGCCCGAATTAGCTTCCATCTGGCTCACAGACAGTAGTTGCTTTGAGTAGACCGAATTACTCTAAAGGATGAGAGCGAGAGAAGCGATAGAGGCGAAACCCTCAGCGGTGTTGGGACCAGACCGTGGTAAGAACAAGCATGGAGATTGATGGTTGTATCACAGCGGTACATAAGTACCTTATCGGAGGTAAGGTACCGTATCACCGATACGGAAGAAGGTATCCACATTTACGGGTATAAAGGGAATGGCTTTTGCTGGCCATCTCCAAGTAGATTCTTTCTTCCTTAGACGTTCATTAATACACCGTCTCAACACCATTGCTTTACAGTTATCACTTGTTATTTCCTTTTATAAACGTACGTACCTACCAACAGAGATGTTTAATATGGTCATGCTCGAACTAGAGTTCGAGAGTGGTCAGCTTTAATGCTAATAGTCTATTGAACCTATTTTCAAGCCACGTTGCTAGCCTCGACTAATACATAGCGAAGCCCTATTTCTATACCGGAGCCAAAATAGAGGCATACTTACAACGAATGATTTAAGCTATCAAATGTAGAAGTGTAGGCAGGAATTGCTCCGAACTATTATTATATTGTGGTAGTAGAAAGCTCGTATATTGAAGAGGTAATGCAAATCATCCACAAGCACTATCAAAGTGCGGCTCATCCCACGAAGGACCTCCTTTAATTCCCTCCATGTAGTAAAATGCACTCTATCGAGAGCTCTGTAATATCTAGACTTGGAATAAACTGCAATTTTTTCTTGTTGTTTTACTATAGTTTAGAAACAGGTACTACAATATGTCATTCTCCCCCGAGACAAACACAAATATCGAGGGAGATGCTTCGTATTTATTCATCCCGGACCCCAATTCGGTTGCGTGATGTGTTCATATTAGGTGTGATTGGTTCCCTTCTTCTGTGTTTCTATGGATGTATGTATGTAGGATGCGGTACATTGCCAAGAGATGACCTGCATACGGGCCGCATTCACTTGCTGCGAGATCTAATACAGGCACGAGAGATCTGATAAGTCGGGAAGGATAAAAGGAGAGGCTATTTATTTATAAGTCGAGCCTCATATCTTACTTTTCAACTACCATTAAGCTCGAAGAACTACTGCATTATCTCTCAGGGGTCTAGTACTCTCGGGAATTAGTCGACGATATATCACGAGGTCTTACTAAAGCCAATGGTTATTAACGACCGGCTGAATTCATCGCAGTAAATCTAGCTACTGTCGTAATACACAAATGAAACGATTCATATTCCATGAAAATGCGATTGACCCGTGTTCCATGCATGCATTTTGTGTAAGCCCTTCCCTTCCCTTCCGGTAACATTCCCCCCCTCCTTATCCTTAAACGCCTTCCTGTCCGTCCATCCGACCTAACCTAAGAGCCGGCTTCGGGGTATTTTCCATCCTAACCCTAGGATAGATGCCATTCCCCCGGCGATAAGCCATCTGCCATATCCCGTATCCCCCACTGCTTCATGAGTTGATCCGGTAATACAAATGCCCTCCGCTTCCGTTCCGAGTAACGACCGCTAACGCTATGCTTTCCGAACGAGTGATACGATGCCATTCCATGACTTAAAAAAAGGGGGTATCGTGTTCTCGTATGCGGTCGTGTCGTAAGGCGCGTCCAGGCGCAGACGTCAGGCGTATGAATGCATGAACAGAAGGAAATATGGAAAAATATGTGCAAACGAAGAAACCCTAATAGAAAATGCTCAATAAAGGGGTATCAAAAAGGGAATAAAAGTTGTTGAACGCCGGTTATACGGTCCTCAAATAATTGAGGTCCTCTCCTTCATGCATAGCTGTTGCTTCGTCGCGCCTGTCCTGTTGCCCGTGCCTTCAGGAACTTAGAGATCGATGTGACGGGCACGATGGAAGTAGGCGCGGCTTGCTTCGCCGAAGTAGAGGCGTTCTGGGTAGGGGTAGGATTGATAGTTGCGTATGACTCAGACCGTCTGGTGGTGATTCCAGCACCACCACCAACGGTGACTGTTTGCCACTTGGTTGTTGTCTGAGCATCCGCGGTAACGGTAACGGTCTTGACTCCACCATGATGCTTCTTCGACGTGGATGTTTCCACCGAAGTTGCAGTCCCTGAGGTTGGGCTGCCGTTATTCGTAGATGTAGCTGGAGTCTCGGTAGGTGCAGCTGGGGGGTTGGTTCCGATTCCCAAACCGGTGGCCTCGAACTGCATCTTAAGCTGGGACTTGATGGCCGCCTTGTTGATGGGATTACTCTCTGAGAACTTAACCTGGGTGTTCTTACCACCCTTGGGGGCCTCAAGTTGGATCTCAGCACATGATGTGTAGATCTCGGTCACGTTCGTAGTGTCGGACGTGATGAGAGGCCAATCCCAAACCCACATGACTGTGTAGGTCCCCTCGTTAGGGAGATCCTCTGGAAGCTGGAAGTCGGTCTGGCAGTACAATTCTTCTAGGCCATGCTCCTTGTAGCGTGTGGCGTAAATGGGGATAGCGAAGTTGTGACCGGCGTTTTGGTAACATTGACCATCATCGTAGAAATGGGTTCCTAGAAGTTTACCTTTGCCGTTGCCGCCTTTTCCATCGGCAGTCCACGATCCCAGAACATCATTAATACCATCCGAGTCCTCGTGGTGGAGGGTACCGTAGACGCTGACGAGTCCATCACGGTATGGGCGCGGTGTAAGGTTGGGCTGGGTGACGTGTCCATTCTCCTGGTAGAGCAGGGCGATATAGTCTCCAGGAGCTGCGGTGAGTCGGTCCAGATGATCATAAGTACCGGCCTTGGGTTTACACACGGGTGGATTAGTCGTAGTATCTAAGATCTTGTTCTGGACTTTCTCGTCGATGAAACCTAGAGCTGAACGGTTCATAAATGCGAAGGGATAGCCTACGGGATCTGTGAAGGCACCAGTAGAGTCGATCTTGCGGACTTGTTCGACCCAGGAATGGGCATCAACAACGGCCGAGGCCGCGAGAAGTATAAGCGAAATCGCTTTGGAAATGCTGTAGAGCGGCATCTTGAAGTAAGTTAAGACGGTTTTACGTAATTTTTGTTGTCTGGTGTTGACTTGATTGTCTCGCCTGCGAGAAAAGATAAGACTAGAAGAAGTAGGCCCTCGAGGGGATAAAAGGTGTCTTAGATGTGTTCCTCTATGTCTGCGAGGTTGAAAGGGATTGTTCGATGAACAAGGAAGGTGTAAATAGTATGATATAGCTTGTTCTCGAAGATAGAAAGAAGAAAGGTTTTATGCGACTTGCGCGAAGAAGAAAAAGACAAACGAGTACGACGCGGCGTGGTGGATGTGGATGAGTTGCCCCGGTAATTAAGAGAAATAGGCAGAATTATATCCTTTGTGAGGGGAGAGGATAAAGAAGCCTCGGGAAAAGAACAATAGGCCTCGTTGTTGAACAGTAAATAAGAACGAGACAAGGCGGATTGTTCTTCTGGAATTGTTACAAACAAAAGTGGTCGTGACTGGTTGTTGTAAAGTTGGTGAGGTGTGAAGGTCGGATGATGCGTGATAGGTACGGGATGAGAAGTTTAGTGTATGGTGCAAGGTGAACAACACAGGTGATTGCGAATGAAAATTCACCACAACGACCAAGTGCTAAAGCTGACAGACAAACTGTTCACGGAGTCTGTGGGTTGAATTTTTGGTAGATAGAGTGTGAGTTCTCGGTTGACTCCCGTCGATTCCAAACGACTTAACAACCGGGTACTTAGAAACGGGTAGTCCCGCACACACAAATCTATGTACCTGTAAGATAAGGCGTAGACGAGCTGGATGACTGCAGAATATTATACCTGGTGACCTAAATCTGAAGTACTTGGGGGTTTATTCGACATCGGGAGAAATAAAAGAAATCTAGTATGGACTCGTACGAAAGTATCATGCAAGTTTCATGCAATAGTTAACTAACATAACACGGGACTTTAATTCCCTGTAACAGAACAGCGGCTCTGACTGGGTGAAATAATCATATAAAGCTACAGCCTACTTCTGTAGCCCCATCTTGACATGTTAAGAGTCCCGGCCCCATGATGACGGCCAAGTTCTCGGGTTAGGTTGGGACCGTGGAGCGTTTTGTCTGTATCTACTAGAATAGCGCGGGAGACACGATAGGTCAACATTATTCGCAGCGGCTGTTCTGTCTGGGATAGGGGTTCATGCATGCCTGTAGATGGGATGCGCATTTTTTCTAGACCTTCACCTTATAATGCAACTATTCGACTAAGTTAGGTACGTACCTCACATATAAACATGTGGATGGTAAGGTTGGGCTTTGGGGTTGGACGGGGCTTAACCTAATGTAACCAGGTACGTGACACAGCATGGCGGGATCTATCTGATTAGGGTTTAGCGTATGCAGGTACCTAAATCGATAACGATAAACATATGTATCTTTTTGCTGCTGCAAGTGATAAAAGTGACCTATGAGGTTCTACTGTATCTAATGTAGAATTACCTCATCTCGTAGCGCCTTTGGTTCAGATTTCCCCACATTATCTGTGGATAATCTTCCGTCTTGTCGTTCCATTCTTCTTAATTCTTTGCATCGTGACCAATCAAGTGCCGATGCCCACCCCAGTTCGCGACGAAACGCAACAGAACTTCATCGCATCGAGAGGCTACCAATCTGCCAAGCTGTAGCGGCAAGCCAGCCGTTTCTTGTTTCTCTTTTCCTGGCCTATCTCTATGGCCTAACTAAAATGCCCTACCTTCATATTATTTGAGAGACCGTTACTCGAGGCCACGCGAAATGACGGTGGCTTCCGGTATCATGAACGTCGCGACCCTCTCTGTCTTGGTCGACTTGGTTGGCTACTTTGCCGCCGCCTCGGCAAAAGGCTTTTGAGCAGTCCTCATATTTTACCTACTAATGACCCGTAAACCTCTGTAATTGTTTCCGCGACCCGTCTCGTGTTCCCGTTGCTACGCGCTTTGCCTCAAAAATTACAGGAGATACCCAAGCTGGAATGATCGTCGAAAGAGGGAATACCCACTTGATCATCCCGTTCGTGCAACCGCTAAGCGCCGCATAAGGCAAAATCTGATACCGATATTATTCTTCGGCTGAGATAAGCTTAAAATTAGTTATTGCTTTTCATATTAAAAAGCGTCTAGGATATTAAATGGTCTCTTTGCCGCCTTCGGGTTCAGACATACGAGAGCGCGATTAGATTTCATGTTGCTAGGTAACTTGCAAACTTGCAAATCTCGCCTTCTCAACGCATTAATCCCAACGATAATACCCGTTCTTGTCCTACCCCCGTCTACGAGAAGGATTGGGCACTGACTTTCGGCCTTCTGAGCGTGGCGGACGGGACACTCACCGCGCAGTCAAGCAGTCGAAGCCGACAACCAGCTTTTGAGAAATTTCTTGGCACACCTAGACCACCACTGTTTCACAATCGTTCAATTATCGTTGTTTAATCGCCACACAGTATCCTTGCTAGTTAAGCCGATCATCTATTCGCCCATTTTTAGCCATAAGAGCAAGGGGGCTTCCCTGCTGCCGATCCGCGCGGTAGCATCGTAAGGAAACTGATTCCCAATCGAGAGTTATCGCTCGCCAAGACCTCAGAACGTTTCCCTGCCAAGTGTTCGCTCTTGAAACACGAGATCTCTTTGGGGCCGGTTCGGATATTTAACTATTTAGCTCTGCTCTGCTCTTGTTAGATTTGAGGTCTTCCGCCGTGGAACCTTGCTACTCCGCCAACATTTATAACATTTATCTTACTCCGATGTTTGGGCAGTTGTCCTATGTTGTGATACCATGGCGTCGTGATAAGACTTTTGAAGAAGTATATAACTATCACATGTATGTGGTATATAGATATGTACCTAATGTTTCTAAACGAGAACGACCACGTACCAGAACTTCATAAATGTGAATTTGATATGATACAGACGCAGTCCACGAGGAAATACTCATTAAACACAAAAACCTTTGCCGCCGTCCTATCCCGTATCCTAATTTCTCCTAATAAGCAACCGGCGCCTGATTAAAGGCCGAGGGAGAAACCCATGTAGAACGCCTTTGGGTGTATATTACAAATACATGATGAACTTGACATCCCAACCATATCAGACTCCATAATATGGCCAGCTGGCTGACGCCGAAAACTGTAGACTATAGTGTAGATCGACAGTAAAATTTAGAAAGAGTAGATGGCGATGGATACCACCGCTTTACAAGAACCCCTGCCCATCATCCATAATAGCCGTGGGCGCATTCTGCCCCGTCTGGTCATGGCCCTGGCCACGACTACCAGGAAGCGCAGTCGGATGCGACAACTTGCGCATCGAGTGCACGGGGTACACAGTATCGCTGCCATCAGCGCCGGCATCCAGGCTATCCTCACGCGAGCGCTTGCGTCCAGCGACCTGTGGGTGCGACCTGATATGCGTATGTGCGAGCCCAGAGTTACTACTCGTAGCCCCTACCCCTAGATCCAGCCCGAAGTCCTGCGCGTCCATGTTCCAAGCGGATTGCTCCGCGCCCGTAGGCTGCCATGTTGCCCACGGGTCTTGCTGCTGCTGCGCGGTGGTGTACTGATGAGAATGAGGATGCTCTGCCTTGCTCGCCCATAGGGAAGTTTCTTTGTCCTCGGCCCAGTGTGAGGTGCTGGCGCCGCTGAAGCTCGTGTCGCGCGAGTTGTGTCCGCTGACGGTGCCGGGGAGGGAGCTAGCCCATAGTGGCTCGCCTGCCGATGCGCTTGTGGTTGCGCTGGTGAGACCGCCTGTTGGATCGGCCCAGCTGACGCCGACGCCCCAGCCGGTAGTGTCGAGGCTCAGACCGCTGCTTCGTGCCGGAATTGCCCAGTTGTCATTATAAGAGGATACTGGCACACCGAGGCCGGACAGGAAAGGGTCTGTGCCGCTAGTGCTGCCGTTGTGGCTGCTACTACCGGCTATTTCAGCAGGAATGGTATTGGTACCGACACCGCTTGTGCCGTCAGATATGTAACTTAACTGATGATGCAGCGCCGAGTCTACGCTACCGCTATCATCGAAGCTATGCGGATATCCACCCGTTAACGACGCTGTGGGTGGAGGTGTGACAAGGCCGTTGTCAAAACCTTCTAGGAGATCTAGGCCAGGGGGTATATGATTATGATTATGGTGATGGTTGTGATGATGTGAAGCGTGTTGGATGTGTTGATGCTGGCTGGGTAGTGTATTTGACGGCAGAACAGGCGCGGTATCATATGCCGCGCTGAGGTTCTCGTGCATGGAAGCGTTGAGGTGGGCTTGGTAGCCAGGATTAGGCGACATGACGTTGTCGCGGGAAACGGAGGGAGAGTTCGTCATGTATGCACGCTGCTGATGGTATTCCGAGGTCGGGTCAACCTTGGTTAGGAATCGCCAATTGGTACCGGCGGTAACAGTAGTTGTCTTTCCCTTCTCATCCATGTGGTCGTGCACAGGGGCGAAAGTCCATAATATGACTGCACGGCGCGTCCATCCGCGCTTCCCACTCTCACTACCGCTACTGGGGCCGTCATTAGGTGTAGACCAGATCTCTTGATACATAGCTACCTGAGATAGTAGTTCTTTAGGAGTTGGCATCTTGTTGCCGTCCTTCTCTGACGCGTTGTCTTCCTTCTTCGTTCTTGCATTTTCACGCTCTGCTCGAGAAGGCTGGGATCCTCTGTTTAAATCTTGCTCGCGCTCTCGACGTTCTCGACGCTCCCGTTCCGCGGTTACGTACGGCGCTAGTTTGATGAAGGTATTAGCCCAGCTAGCAGCCGGGAATGGGACGCCGATAGTATCGCGAGTGCCACGAGATGCGCAATCGCATCGACCTACACCGTTACATCCGACGCGATGTGAGACGATGACTTCGACGGGGTTGCTGCGATCCCAGAAATCAGGTTCTGACCCGGAGATATGCAACTCGTCCGGCTTCACAACCGAAGTCACGGATCTCCAGCTGTGGTTGTGTAGCTCGGGTCGGTTTATTGCGAGTTCCACCATACCATTAAGTTCAGATCCATCGGGAAACTTGGACGTTGCGTGTAGATCTAGCGTTACTTCGAACTGAAAAGTATCGCAAGGTCCCACCACGCAGCGTGATGTCCTCTCATCTGACGGGTGTGTGTCGTCCAGTGCAGCAAGGAGCTTCTCCCTGAGCTCCGGGAACTGGACATCCCACCGGTTGGAGATATCCTTAATGGATGATGATTTCTCTTGTGCGAGCGGCCTTGTATATTCATGTAGAAGAACGGTCGGTTGCTCCCCGTTTCGTGGTAGGTCCTTGTAATCC